CCAGGAGCACCTTAAAGATTAACAAAATTTGTGGCAGGGTATGAACTTTCGTGAGTCGCTGCTCACTTCTTCAGATACCAGTGACTCACGGAAGCTCATACCCTGCCACAAATTTTGTTAATCTTTAAGGTGCTACTGGACTCCTGCTCTTTTCTGCTGCTACAGACAAACTATTCATCTTGATCAGAAAAGAAAGGACATGTTTTCTTGGCACTATCTAACCAGCCTAGTTATCCAGTCCCTAGTTGTGACTACAGAGAAAGAGCAAAAGAAATGTCTTCCTCTCCCTCCCTAGATTGTGGTTGAAGCATCTGATGTAATGCAGGAAAACATCACATGAATGCAACACTGAAGGGGAGGCCAGACTGAAGCTTCCATCTCATGCAGTCACGATAAGATAACTTCAACTGCCAGTTGTTTTCTGCAGCAATTCAATCCATAGAGTGACAAAGATACTCGGGGGAACTGTGAAAGGGAAAAAAAGCTTTTAATCAAATTAAATTAGATCAGGTCTTCAGGGATGGTTTCAGGAGTCCCGATGGAATTATTTTAAGTAAACTAATCAGTAGCCAGGCAACTATACCTGATGAGTCTGGGGGCAGGAGGGGTTTTGCAACTATAAAAGCACAGGGAGAGGTAATGCTGTCTTATCTGTTCTGCTCTTCTAGCATGCTAGACCTTGCCACAGCACAGCTCCAGATGCTTCCACAAGACTACAAAGATATGGATGGTAAGTTTTTGCATAAATATCTGTTTCTTCTTGTGCACAGTTCAGAGCAATGGCTTTGGCTTATAAAGCACTATATGATTTTAGACCAGAATGTTTTTAGGGTCTCTTCCTGCAGTACAAATCTGCTGAGACTTAGGATCATAATTGAAGGCTCTCTTAGGGTTGCCAACTGCCTGGAGAGCAAATGTCCTATGCCTTCCGTATTTATCTACTTATTTACTTCCAATTTATACCCTGTCAGGCGCCGTCTGTGGCCCGGGACCTGTTTGTTGGTTTTAAAAAAAATAAAAGCATCCCCCCAAGTATCTGTGGGGGGAATGGAAGCCACAGGGACTTGCAATCTTTCCCAAAACTTCAGAGCAAATAACATTTTAGTAATATTGGAGAAAAGCAGGGGAAACCCCTGGGGGTTCCCAAGTGCACCATAATGCTGTTGGGGAAGCAGGAAGAAAACTCACTTCCCAAAAGCATTGAACTCAAGGCAGATAACCCATGTGGAAGGCATCACCATCCAGCCTCACCATCTAGCTTCCTGGGAACATCTGCTTAGCCATGGTGGGAAACAGGATGGTGAACTAGATGGAATTCAGCAGGGCTCTTCTTAAAGGCTGCAGAATAATCCTGTGCATGGTTACTAAGAAGTCAGTCCCTTTCAATCCACTGGGATTTATTCCTAAATAAGCATATTTTATTTATTTAAAACATTAATTAGCCAACTTTCTTCCATACGGAGCTCAAGGTGGCTTACAATATAATAAGCATACTTGATTGCTGTGTGTTTGAGGAAATTCCCTATCTATTGACTTGCCAAGCTGCTCGAGGATTTTGAGGGGACTGAGGGAGGCTGATTTTTGCATACTGTGTCCATTGATAAAAACAGTTTCTGGATTCTCAGAAATAACGTGCAACTTCGAACTCTCTTCTGAACCTGCATTGCATTTTCCCAGTTATTTCAATCCTGCTTGTCAACCCTTCTGATTCTGTGTGTGCTTGTCATATGGTGATGGGTACTGCTTGTTAATGTGTGAGGGTGCAGAGGCAGACTGTGTGCTTCTGGGTTTTGTGAGTTAGAGGGTGTTAATGAGAGAAAGGCTCAGATGCTCAAAGGCACTTTAAGCTTGGCTGGTTCTGGTTTATGTGGTGAGTAAGGCTGCAAACTTATCGGAGAGGAAAAAAATGTCCTCTCCCTTTAATAGAGATTGAAAGTTGTGTTATTAACCCCGTGCCATGAAAAGCTTCAGCCATCTATTTCCACATACTATGCTTCTGTAAAAGGGGCAGAACGTTTTTCTGCAGGCCTGTTGGCAACTCCAGTTGGGGAAACACACAAGTGTATGTGTGGGTTTCTCTCTTGGACCAAACAGCACACCTCAGACCTTTTGCAGGTCAAGAAAATAGTGAGAAGGGGAAGGGTGAAGCCCTTTGTCCGTGTGCACCATAGTCACAATCCAAACTGGGCACTACGTGCATGGGAATGGAGGAGAACCCCTAGTTCATATGTATGTATCACAGACCCAGCCTCTGTACTCCTTAATGTATGAGTTGTTATTAGATAATGTGAAAAGGTTATTAATGGAGGGCAGGTCCATCAACCTCTATTAGCTATGATGCCTAAATTTTCAACAGTCACTGCCTCTTTTTTGAGATGAACAACAAGGCTGTTGCTGTCATGTCCTGCTTGTAGAAACTTCAGGATATCTGGCAGTTTGGAATAACCACTAAATCTAAAATGGGTCAACAAAAGAGACCTCTTAAGACACATATCCAGATAATTCATGGCGGACATAAATTTTGGATCCCAGTTTCTTAATAATGTTCACTATGAATAGATTACATGTTTAAATCTGTAACGGGTAAATGTACAGTGCATTTCTAAGCAGTGGTGGTATGTACCTGGTTTGCCAGTTGTACGGCTGTGGATAGGAAAGCACTCCAGAGAGTTATCATCACAGCCCAGAAGATCATTGGCTGCCCACTCCCATTCCTGGAGGAATTGTATAGTTCTCGATGTTTGAAAAAAGCAAAGAACATTCTGCAGGATTTGTCACACCCTGGACATTCCCTGTTTGAACTGCTGCCTTCGGGCAGAAGATATAGGACAATTAAAACAAGCACAAACAGATTAAAAATAGTTTTTATTCGAGAGCTATCACTGCCTTAAATGCTGTATGAAATTGGAATTTGGGTGACATTAGTGGTTTTAAGTTGCTATGTGAACCTTAAGGGAGTTATGAGCAATGTTCCTTCTAAGCTGAGTTAGTGTGAGCTAGCTCACATTTTTTTTAGCCTCCGGCTCACAGATTTTGGTCTTAGCTCAGGAAGGATGGTTCCAAAGCAAACTGATTTATGCAGCAGCCAAATCACCTGCTCACAACTTTAATGCTGGTAGCTCACAAAGTAGAATTTTTGCTCACAAGACTCCACAGCTTAGAGGGAACATTGGTTATGAGATAGTTGTGAATGGTTGTGTGAGTGTATATGAATATTGTAGATCACCGAAATGATTGCATCTTAATTTCATTGTACTATGTACAATGACAATAAAGTATATTACTATTATTATTACTACCTTTCCAAGCCCATTGATATCAGTGAGCTTGGAAGGATCTAATGCTGTAAATGTTGGCACTGGTAAATATAAGCAGCAAATGTTGACTTAAAGAAGGGGTTTGACATTTGGAGGCTCAGACCCAACTCCTTTCCTGTAGTCAGTTTGCCTCCATCTAACCTAGTCTGTTTGCATCTGTGGCAAATGGGTTTCTTTTTTTTTTAAAGGGGGGGGGTCGTCTTTCCCTTTCATTATGCAGACAAGGTGGCTTACAGTCAAATTTAAAACAGTCAGTCAAAATAAAAGCAAGAATAACAAAAAATAGCTATCGAAAAAGAAAACAGCAGCAAAAAACATTAATCAGTCCATACACTGCCAGCCAAACTCCAGAAACTGCAGGGAATTACAAATAAAGGCGTAAGCTGATGTTGAAAAGTCCATGAAGTAGATGCCTGACAGATGTGTCTGGAGTAGTCATTCCACAGTCTGGGCTCCAAAACTGAGAAGGCCCTGTCCCTGGTGGCCACACACATTTCTGATGGTGGGGACACCCCGAGCTATTTGCAGATTACTTTAAAAACACCCCTGGGAAGCGTACAGCTATGGCATAAGGACAACAACCTCCTCTGTTTGTCCCAGCAGCCAGTATTCAGAGACAGAGGAGAGAGTATGTGAAGGAATGTCTGTTATGAGCTGCTGACCAATCACTTCTGGCTGTGCATGGGAGTGAGAAGGCTATGTGTGCTATTGTATCTCAGACTTCAGTGTTGTCCTCCCCTATGTAAAACAAACATTTCCTAATATTCTTTTACATGCCTGATTCCATAACCCTGTAATTAATATGTACTGTTCAACTGTAATCAGCAGCTTGGTTTCTTTCTAATTGTGGCACAGACCAAATTGTGTTGATCTTTGGGGGCCTAATATCATGTACAGATAACATTCATTACAGTCCTAAGCAAAGTTACACCCTCTGCTTATGTTTACACCGTTTGGTGGCAGGGGATTTATAAGCACATGCAATATCTGTACACCTAAGATGTACTGAGTTGGTGCCTCCTACCTGAGTCCTCCACCTTAATGTGCCGGGTTCTTGTCCTGGGAGGGGATGTCTTGTAGCATCCCTTCTTTTCGTTGCTGCTGCTATTTAGTCAATTGCTGCTGGGTGTTTAGTTTGGAATCGGGGCTTGTCAGACAGCAACAAAGACTGAAGGGTTGGTAAGGGCACGCTTTGAACTTATTGCCCAGATACACCCCAAAATTTGTAGGCATGTGTTAAAACAGTATCAGCTTAGATCTTGCCTAGTATGCCTACAAAGATATTCCAGCTTTGTATTTCAAAGATATATTTATAAATCTCTGTTTTCAATGTTGGCAGGACTTTTGGGTTCATGTTTAGAAGTGCTTTTGGAATGTCCAGAGAGGTGCGGGCTTTGCCTTGCACTGAGCTAGAAAACAACTGACAAACTGGGAAGAATGAGGAACCAAGATAGTGAGTTTATTAAATGAATTGTGTTTGGCAACCGTGTCTAAGGAGCTCTGACTTCAAAAATGTACACAGTCAGGAAAAGGGTTAGTTGGCTCTTGTTAGATGACTCCTTTTATCCTGCCTAATGAAGGGAAGCCGCATCATACGGCTAAACTGCAGGCTGGAACTGTCAGGAACATTACTGATTGTTTTTGCAAATATGAGTCTGCTTGAACCATGAAGAAGCAGTTAATAATAAATCTGTTTTGTTTCTCATGCAGGTTTCTGAAGTCCTGGAAGTAAGGAAGCTCTCTAGTACCCTGGCAGAGTGTCAACCACAACTTTGAGGCGGAAACCTACACTGAAGTTCTCCACGTTCCAGACTTCTGCTACTTGAAAGAAATCACTGGTCAATAATGTGAAGAAGAAAACACAAAGGTTTTTCTGGAGAAGAAGACCTCATACTTGTGAACTGCTTTCTTTTTTCATTCTTCCTTTGTAAGCCAGGTTTTGTCAAGCACCACCAAAAGATGCCTGCCAAGACACCCATCTACCTGAAAGCTGGCAACAATAAGAAAGGGAAGAAATTCAAGTTGAGGGACATTTTATCTCCTGACATGATCAGCCCACCTCTAGGTGATTTTCGCCACACCATTCATATTGGGAAAGAAGGACAACACGACGTTTTTGGAGACATCTCCTTTCTGCAAGGAAATTATGAACTCTTACCTGGGAATGAGGGAGAAACAACAGGCAGTCAGTGCGGAGGGCACAGTGAGTTCCTGAGGGCAAACAGCACCTCTGACTCTGTGTTTACCGAAACGCCTTCCCCAGTGCTCAAAAATGCCATATCACTTCCTGCCATCGGTGGTTCTCAAGCCCTCATGCTGCCCTTGTTGTCACCGGTGACATTTTATTCAAAGCAGGACTCTTTGGGGCCGTTAAGGAATCCCAGGCATAGCTGTGAGCCCGTAATGGAAGAAAAGTTGCAGGAGAAGAGCAAACAGTTGGAGAATGGGAAGATATACAAAGATGACATCACATGGCAGCGGAACGTCCCAACATCGCATTATGCTAACGGAAGAGACAGTCATTCATCCAGCCTTTCGGAACAATACACTGAATGGCAAACAGAGGACTTATTTGACAACGGCCATCTTTCATGCGATTTAACCAAGACTCAAGTTAAATCCGAAGAATCCCTCTCAGATCTGGCTGAGCCTCTCTTGTCTCTGCAGCTCGACCTGGGGCCCTCGCTTTTGGATGAAGTGCTCAATGTAATGGACAAGAACAAATCATAGAACACGTTGCGCTTCTCACCTCACTTAATACAACTGAAACATAAGGACACCGTCCAGCAAAAGCTAAGCACTTGAGACCACAGTCCTCCTATGCAAACTCCCTTGGAAACAAGACTTCTTGAACTCAGTGAGAATTACTTCTGAGTAAACATGTATAGCATAGGGCTTTCATGTCTGTTGATTTCAGTGGGAGACTTAAACACATGGCTTAACTTTGGCTCGGTTGAACTCTCTATACAAAACCAATTCTCTTTGCAGTTGACAAGTTTTCTATAACAAAATATTTTTTTACGTAATGTCCATGATTTTTTTAACATGGCAAATGTTTTACATCAAAAGGACATGATTTAAAGACACAATTTTCTTCCAAATGTAAAATATTTTCTAAAAACTAAAACTTCTTGTCGATGTAATACTTGGGTGAACTCTAAGTTAATTCAGTTCATTTTCAGGATCTCCTTTCTCCAGGATCCTGTATGTGCTCAGCAGAAGATTTATGAAGTGAAGGTTAAATGTTAATTAGTTCAGCATTACTTAATATGTAACTCCTCTCCTTCCCAGAATGATGGGGTTTTTTTATATTAGCAGTGTTTTTCATTCTTGCTGCACTGTTATCCTTCAGTGTTAATGCATAGATTTGTGCTCAGATGGGAATGGCTTTTTTCTGTTCAACTATTATGGAAAGTATATGTAGCCAATACAATGGTACCATTGAAGTTACTTGAGCCTCCAGTTCTAACCCAAATGTATTCAGAAAATCTAATCTAAAAAGATGAAGTGGCAAACTGCAGTTGCAATTAAATTATTTTAGGAGCTGGAATCTATTTTTATGCACATTAGACTTTTAATGGTAGTTTCTGCATACACACAGGATTGCACCCGAAAGCTGTTGCTTAACATTTTGTTGGAAAGCGTTTGTATAAATTGTATATTTGTGTGCGTGTGCAGGAAAAAAATGTATTTGATCCTTTAGCTTTGTTCTTTCAGTTCTTGATATTGACACACAAATGTTACATTTTGCAATGGATTATTTTATGTTTTAGAGGAAAGCACTGACTACTCACAATGCTCCAAGGAGATTGTGCTGCAGCAGATGGTATTCCAGGGAATGTAGCGATGTCCCTGCATTGCGTAGATACTTTGTGCAATACAATAAAAAACTAAATGTGGGAAAATCTGTCTTTGTGATTGAGTTGATTTATATTGAGACCCACTTTCTATACTTTCCCATAGAATTTTGCTAGTTCATTGTTTCAGCAGTACCAAGAGAAAAGTAATGTTTAAGTTAAGAGAATTTCGCTGGGCCACATATTTCAGATATTAGTGTTATCACTGAAAGAGGAAAGAAAATTTTTGCAAAATTCATTCCTCCTTACGTATGCTCTAATTGGCCCTTACATGCAGTGGTTGTCTTGTTATGTCACCAGTGCTGAGCAGACAGTGAACATGTAGAAATAGGCATCTAGAGTTTCTTCCCCTATAGGAATGGAGGGATATCCTTTGTAGCTGGATAGCCATAAAGACCCCTTCATCCCATATTTTAGAGAACATTTATATAGCATGATCAGTAATGTGTTAATTTTATTTTAATTAACAGCTGTTAATTTTATTTTAATAAAGTAGGTGTTGACTATGTTCCCTGCAATGGCTGCCTTACCAGCGCTGACTTACGGCATATTATACCACAATAACTCTGTTAGTCTTCAGCAATTAGTTGCCTTTCTGTGACACCTTATTTCATTATAGCTTAGAGAATAACACGAGTAATTAGTGCTGAACAGTTAAATTTCTCTTTTTATAGCAGACAGAAAATTAGCTGAAGGATAGGTGTAGCCTAAAATCCTAAGTAGCTTCACAATTTTCTTTGCACAAGTCCACTTGCTTCAATAAGTGCTGGAGACAGATCCAAATTGCTGCTGGCTTTTAAATTTCCAGGGGGCACAGCAATTTTCTGCCTCTGTGCGCTGAACATGGTAGTACCTGAAATCTAATCTACTTAATGCTGCAGTCTTATTTGCCCTTATTTGGAGTAAGCTCCATTCCACTCAGTGGGACTTATTTATTTATTTACTTAATTTGATTTGTATCCCGTCCTCCCTGCAAGCAGGCTCAGGGCGGGTTCCATCATAAAATTCACAGTACAACAAATTGACAGTTAAAATATATCTAAAAACAGTAATCAATAAAAGACCAGTGCCTCAACAATTTATTCCCAGGTGGCCATTCGGATCTGAGGTCACTGGAGGGGAGGCCGATAGCAGGTGGGCGCCCACTGCCTCAGCTGAAAGCCTGGCGGAAGAGCTCTGTCTTGTAGGTCCTGTGGAACTGTAATAGGTCCTGCAGGGCCCTGGTTTCTAATGGGAGCTCATTCCATCAGGCAGGGGCCAGGGCAAAAAAAACCCTGGCCCTTGTTGAGGCAAGTCGGACATCCCTGGGACCGGGAACCACCAGGAGGTATTGATTAATGGATCATTAAGTTGCTGCAGGGCTCATATGGGAAGAGGCGGCTACTTCTGAGTAAACATACTTAGGGTTCAGATTGCACATCTATGGTATCTGCTGTGTTTTCTTCTAAGACAGACTGAATCATCTTTCTCCCCTTCCCCATCTTTTGTTTTCTTTTTCCCCCATGGGCATCCAGAATGAAGAAAAGTTCTGGAGGACTAAAATCTTGCTTACTATTTTGTGTTATTTTGATTGGTCCTAATTTTAAAAAATTACATTATTAATTTGATGACGTTTACAGCAGTCTGTGAGAACACATCACATGTCCAAAGCAAAATGTCTTAAGCAGAGGTTCTCAGCACAAATTCCTTGTGAGTCTGTAATACAACGATCCTGTTGATTCTCTAGAACGAGAATGGCAAAATAGATGGGCTAAGGCAATATCTTCCATTCAGTTTCTCATTGTAGGAGTTGGTAAAACATCAGAGAGAAATGCAACTCATTAATGTTTAGCAGACTTTCTTTCACATTGTGGCCACTGAATTATCCCTTAGAATTCAATAGCATCTGTAATTATCCCTATGGAAGGTGATCCTCATCTGACAGAAGAGATTTCTATATAATTTTGCATTTCATAAAGTGGGTTCCATCACTTAACAAGATGGCAATACAATTCAGTTGTAAAGGAGCAAATTACACCTGATGTGGGTGCTTTACATGGAGGTTCATACTTGTAGTGGGTCAGTTCATGAAAATGTAGAGGGAAGACAGGTGCAGGTCAATACATGAAACGCCTATATCAGACATTAGTTTTGGTGTTCACGGGGGGGGGAGGTGTTCTGCAGCCACTGAAATGTTATTGGCCACATGCTTGCTAAGTGGCTCAGCTGGACCTTACTTTCTTCTGCCAAAATGGAGAAAGTGTTCCCAAGGTTAACAGAAGGTGAGCTCTTGCACATTGCTCTATCCTGTTTTAATAATGGGTTTGATTTCTGCAGACAGAAAGCATGGACCAAACCTGAAAGCACAGATGAATTCAATATGCATGAACTTTCCACCTTTCTGTCAAGTCAGCAGTAATATGTTTGGACGGTGTTGGGGGGTCTGGGAGAATGGTTTCATCTTTGGCAGGACCACTCATTCTTTAGTCAGGGTAGCTTTAGTGAAATCAGAATGTGCCGGTTTACAGGACCTTTATTGACCAGAAGTCTGATATTTTTGGCTGAACAAAGCTTTCTAAGTTTAAGGCCTTCTCTTACGTTGCCTTTATGGAAATGCTATTCTTTGGAAAGGGATCTCCCACCAGGGAAATGTATCAGCTAATCTTACAATTAAGATAATATCCTTTTGTGTTTTGTGTTCTTATTCCCCTTGCCACTTTGCTGGACTGCAAAGCCCTTTGTTTAAATAGCAAGCTCTTCTACTTGAGCTCATCAAATCAGAATGCTGACTTTATTAGATCCTGGCCATTTTCACAGCAGTAGACTCCTCCAGGGAAAATCGGCAATAGAAAGCAGATAATGCTGTTCTGAAACCACTTGATGAAGACAATATTACTGATAAAGCAAAGTTACTGGTATGGATATCCCAGGGATTTCTGAAATGAAATTCTGGATATGATCCAACCAAAATTAAGCATTCTTATAACCCATTAATTGCATAGAAATGATAAACCTCTCCCACTGGAATAAATGGATCTTTAAAATGCTTAATGTAGCTAGTTTTTGAGCTCTGTAAAAATTAGACCAAACAAAAAAAAACAACCCTTGCCAATTTTCATATTTTACCAAAGAGCTGTAGGAAGTGCCATCAAGTGCAGCTGTCTTATGGTGACCTTCAATGTTCCCTCTAAGCTACAGAGTCTTGTGAGCAAAAATTCTACTTTGTGAGCTGCTGGCATTAAAGTTGTGAGTGAGCAATTTGGCCACTGCATACATTAATTTGCTCTGGAGCCCATCCTTCCTGAGCTAATACAAAAATGTGTGAGCTGGAGGCTAAAAAACTGTGAGCTAGCTCACACTAACTCAGCTTAGAGGCAACACTGGTGACCTTGTAGGGATTTCACGGCAAGGCATGAACAGAGGTGGTTTGCCATTGTTTGCCTCTGCATAGCAATCCTGGACTCCCTTGGCTGCCTAGGGCCAGTCCTGTTTGGTGTGGTGGTTAAGAGTGGCGGACTCTAACCTGGAGAACCGGGTTTAATTCCCCAGTCCTCCTCCACATGCAACCAGCTGGGTGACCTTGGGTCAGTCACAGTTCTCTTAGAGCAGTCATCTCAAGAGCAGTTCTCTCAGAGCTCTCTCAGCCCCACCTACTTCACAGGGTGTCTCTTGCAGGGAGAGGAAGGGATTGTAAGCCTCTCTGAGACTCCGAGTGAAGGGCGGGGTATAAATCCAATCTCTTCTTCATATTGTTATTAGCAGCCAAGATCTAATGAGATCAGGCTAGCCCGGGCCATCCAAGTCAGGATATTGGTATCTAGAGCACCAAAAATATTTTTGCCATCGTGTTTGGAGTATTACAGTAGAAGAACTTCTTCAAGATAAATCCCTAGATTAATAATCTGCATGTTTAGTGTTTGCATAACATACTGGGCACATTCCAGTATGAATCCAGCATCTCCTCTGTTGCTATCGATGGAACTTAAAGTCC